CCCCCCCTCCCTCATAAAAAATGAGCGGTCCCTAAATTTTATATATTTTTCTCATAATTATTATATATTTTTTTTGATATTCCGGAATGTTCCATGTTCCTGGTTTTATTGTCAGCCCCTTCAGATCCTGACCAAGGGGCGATTTGAAGAAAAGGAGAGGCTTAATTTCTCCCACTCAAACCATCATATAAAATACGCTGAACGACAAGTTATCGCACTTTATTGCCTGTAAACATGAACATGAAGGGGCATTTATACTAGGCCGGGAACACAAGTTTTTTCTTTTTTGTTTTTGCATTTTTTTTTTTTTTGATAATCGTTTTTGGTTATTTCTATGTCTAGTTTTACAGATATTTCTCATAATTATGATAATTTTTTAATGTTCCGGGATGTTCCGGAATGTTCCATGTTCCGGCTTTTATTGACAGCCGATTTTAGCTCGTGAAGGTTCGTAAACAACTTGCGCCACGCCAGGAGATTATCTCGCCTTATGAAACCGCAAGCCAATAGAACAACAGGACCTCCTAGCGTCAATGATAATGGATCAGGATTTCCCGGGAAAAGCATCTCATTGCAACACGTTTTCTATCTTGCTGTTGTATTGAAGAGAAAGACACTAAACCGGGCAAAGTAGCCAAAGGCAAAAGAACAACTCGCGGCAAGACAGGTAAAGCCAGCAAATGTACCGACAAGCACGACAACGAATCAAAGTACAGACAGCTTAGGCAGACTGCTTTTAAAAGAGCTTTTGTGGCTTTCAGTGAGGTGTTTTTGTTTTCTTTCCTACACAGAAATGGGTCCTTTCTGTCTTCTTTTGGCTTGTTTGTTTCTCTTCCTCGGGCCAAGGATGGTTTTTATGATTTGAATTTTCTACTCGAGAGCAAGCGCAAAGGGCTTCTATTAACAAATTTGTCAACTGCGCGATGTAAACAATCCCAAATGACATGAAATATGAACTCCAAGATGCGAGTTTGCCGCGAAAGTTCCCTCGGCGGTTTCGTTCAATTTACGAGATTATGACACCTTCCTGGTTTTTTAACTTTATTTGAAAACAAGGCTTTTTTAATAACTCGGCCACTTTTTGCGATTTTTAATATTTTTCTTTTTTAAGCATTCGATAAAATGACTGACTTAAATTTCGACAAATAAAAGGAAAAAAACCCGATTTTTTATGCCCTTGAAAGTGGGAAGTAACCTTATCAGCATCGAATTCTGCACAAACCAGGGCTAAATGAAGAGCGATTGTTGTTGTATTATGTCCCATAGGAACTAAGAACTAATTATTATTAGAGAATAAAGTAAGTAAGTAAACAGTATTCTGCAATACATTTCCCACTTAGAAGTTGTAACTACTTATCTATGTTGATACCAGAAATCCCAAAAAATCTATGTTGGATAATTCACCTATTTCTACACCTTAATCTTTCCAGTGATTGCCTTCTCACTTGTAGAAATTCAACTCCCAGATACTGACATTTAAAAGCAATCTCCTACCGAATGGAATAAAACTAAGCATAAGCCCACAAGTACGCATTGCGGGGCTATTTATTTCCATTGTTATCATCATCATCGTTTATTTGCCCTGAACAGTTGATTTGATCAGTATTTATTTGCTCTTCGCTCAAGTCCTCTTTTCACAACAAACAGACCTTTACCTCTAAAATTAATCCCCCTACCCAATATACGTAAAAAAAACGTGCACCTTCCCTCTCTCTCTCTCTCTCTCTCTCTCTCTCTC